ACACCAAAGGATTCACACAGGTGAAAAACCATATAAACGTCATTGTGGAAAAGGTTTCAGTTGCAATTCTGACCTGGTAAAACACCAGAGGACTCACACTGGAGAGAAACCTTATGAGTGTCCAGACTGTGGGAAAGATTTCTCTTGGAAATCTGACCTGGTGAAGCACCAGAGGATTCACACAGGAGAGAAACCATATAAGTGTCCAGATTGTGGTAAAGGTTTCAGTCAGAATGTTAACATGGTGAAGCATCAGACAACTCACACAAAAGAGAAAGTTTATGAGTGTTCTGGTTGTGGGAAACATTTTAGTCAGAATTCCTACCTGGTAGAACACCAAAGGACTCACACTGGAGAGAAACTGTATGAATGTTCGAATTGTGGAAAAGGTTTCAAGTCTAATTCTGATCTGGTGATACACCAAAAGGTTCACACATGTGAAAAACCATGTAGATGTCATTGTGGGAAAGATTTTAGTTGCAATTCTGACCTGGTGAAACACCAGAGGATTCACACAGGAGAGAAACCATATAAATGTCATTGTGGGAAAAGTTTCAGTCAGAATTCCTACCTTGTGAAACACCAGAGGATTCACACAGGTGAAAAACCGTATGAGTGTCTGCAGTGTGGGAAAAGATTCATTCAAAATGCCTTCCTTTTGCGGCATTACAGGACTCACACAGGAGAGAAACCATATAAGTGTCCAGATTGTGGGAAAAGTTTTAGTCAGAATGTTAACATGGTGAAACACCAGAGGACTCACACACAAGAGAAACTTTATGAGTGTTCTGATTGTGGGAAACATTTTAGTCAGAATACCTACCTGGTGGAACACCAAAGGACTCACACTGGAGAGAAACTCTTTGAGTGTCCTGATTGTGGGAAAAGTTTCATTTGGAATTCCAAGCTCTTGAGACACCAGAGAACTCACACAGGAGAGAAACCATATCAGTGTTCAGATTGTGGTAAACAATTCAGTCAAAATTCCAACCTGGTGATACACCAGAAAACTCACACAGGAGAAAAACCATATCAATGTCCAGATTGTGGGAAAAGTTTCAGTCAGAATTTCTATCTGGTGATACACCAGAAAACTCACACAGGGGACACACCATATCAGTGTCCAGTTTGTGGAAAAGGTTTCACTTGCAATTCTGACCTGGGGAAACACCAGAGGACTCATACAGTAGAAAGACCGTATGAGTGTGTTGAATGTGGGAAATGTTTCAGTCGGAATTTCAGTTTAGTATTACATTGGAGGACTCACACAGGAGAGAAACCATATGAATGTCCAGATTGTGGGAAAGATTTCAGTAGTAGGGCTAGCCTTATAAATCATGTAAGGTTACACATAGGGGAGAAACCATTCAAATGCCCAGATTGCGGAAAGTGTTTCACGCGGAATTCCTCCCTTATCACACACAAGAAATTTCACATGAGGCAACCTTTGACTTGTGTACCAGAATCTTGAAATTTGTTGTCTCACATTGGAGACCCAGCTGAACAATTAAAAGATTTAATTACTTGCATGATTCTTTTTAGTGAAACTTGTCCTGGTATCAAAAATGAGGAATACATGAGATAAGATGGAAGGGATTTTGTAGATGTCATCTAGTCCAACACAACACTCAAGAAGGAGACTATACAGTAATGGCAAATCTTTTAGCGATCGAGTGCCCAAGCTGCAATCCAAAATCCACTTACCATATTTTTCAGAGTATAAGACGCTCAAGAGGTATAAGATGCACCTAAATTTTGGGGAGGAAAACGAGAAAAATCTGCTTCTGCCTCCTAGCCATTTGCCTCCTATCAGCAAACAGCCTGGTCAGCTTCAGCACAGCCTGATTTAGCACAAGCAACTGTCAGTTGGATCTGCCTCCAGACGATCAGCTGTTTCAGGCAGCTGGGACCGCTATTGCCGCCTCCATGTGCCCCATTTTTGGCCTCCACCCGTCCCATTTTCAGCCCATTCCGATCCCTGTCACCTGGAACAAGATCAGAGGCTGAACATGGGGTGTGCAAAGGCGACAATAGGGCGATCCCTGCATCCTGAAACAGCTGATCGCTGGGAGGCAGATTCAAATGACAATCAGCTGCTTGTGCTAAATCAGTCTGGTGCTGAAGCTGACCAGGCTTTTTGCTGTTTGTTTCAAGGAGGCAAATTGCTGGGAGGCAGAGACCAAAGTGGGGGCGGGTGCAGTGGGGGAAGGGGCTTCAGCAACATTCACTGTATACTACACACATTTCCATCCACTTTTGGGGCGGGAATGGGTCTTACACACCGAAAAAATGCGGTCTTTATTGCGAAATGACATCAATTTCATCTGAATAATCAGGTTTTACTACCTAAAATAACGATAAGGCAGAGTTCAGCTAATTGTTATAAGAAAAGCGTGATAAATGCACTTTCGTGCACTTCATTTTTTTTCTGCTTTTGAAATATTACATTTAGCAACAATAAAAAAGAAAAACTTCTGTGATATCATTTCTCTTTCCCTCCCTCCTGTTTCTCTTTCCCTCCCTCTACCTCTATTCCTCCGTCCCTCCCTCTGCCCCGCCTGGGGAGAGGAAGGAACCCCTGAACTTAATCAAAATTAAACATTAAGGGCTACAATTAAATGTGTCAGTATTGGAGCAGAAATAAAATCACCCAAGTGCAAGTATGCAGCACCAAACATTTTAAACCTCTATGTGGCGAAATCAAATGCGCCAAGTTCACTCCCTTGGTCACATTCTCGCAAACTCCAGAGTGAGCATAATTCCTCAGGTATGAAATCATACTTCTCAGCCCAAAGGAAATTCCTAATTTCTCCTCCCTCATATTTGGGCAAAAAAACTTCAGATTTGAGTTTGTAAAAAAATTATTATTTTTTAATTCCCCACCTAACTAGCAGATTACTTGAAATTCAGATTCAAGTTGTTACTTTCTGCATTTCTTTAATTTCTTAGTGGCCTGTTTAAAGAAAAATCTGATGTTGCTCCCCCAGGATAAAGTCCAACCGCATTTCCAACATTTTGCCTTTTTCACATTTGTATCTTTCGGTCAGGATTCTGCCCAACAGCAGCGAGATGCACTTCGCTAAGGAATTTGCAGTAGTTGTATTACTCATTTTTTGCCTTTGTAGTGTTATATGTGGGTATCCCAACATAGGCAGCTCTGCAGGAAACTGACATCCAGGAGGCCAGAGTGAGCTGAGGCGACAAAGGGTCCCACTTGGCCACTGCAGTAGATTTCACTGTGCTGCGCAAGGAACTGTGAGTGTAGGGAGGAGGCTGTGGAGGCAGCAACAGCAAATGTACTGCGACAAAGGCAAAATGTTGTTGCGTGCATTTTTTTAGTCCTTCTGACTTTCATTTCCCTGCAAGCGACAGTGAGAAATGTGACAGAGAAATGCAATAGAGCTGGGTTGGGGTGACGGGGGGGGCGCTGGGGGTTTTTGGGGGGGGGGGGTTGGGAGAGCACCTAGCTAAGATTTTGTGCAGTTCAGAGAACCCCCAAATCCCAATCCTGGCTGGCTCCACCCCACCCCTCCCCTCCCAGGAGTCCCCAGTAGGCCTGTTTTGGATGCAGGTAAGTGCAGGACGCATGGAAGCCCGGGGAGGGTGAAAAATGGGCCTCCGGAAGTTCTGAAAGGCTGGAAATGGGCCTGTTTCTGGCTTCCAGAGAGCCTCCGGAACCCAGGGAGGCTGTTTTCGACCTCCTGGAGGCTCGAAGAAATCCTCCCGAGCCCAGGGAGGCAAAAATGCCCCTCCCACCATGGTACAAGAGGTTGACTAGGCCGCAACCACCATGGCCTCGCCCACCCAGCAACCTGGCAGAGAACCCTTTGCTAAAAATTTGTGAAGCCCTCCCCTGGTGACAGCATATGTGGCCACCGAGAGGGCTCTATGTGCCACCGCCCTATAACATTTCTGACATGTGGTGGTTGAGTCTCTTCTTGAAAGCACCCAGTGATGAAGCACCCACAGCTACTGAAGGCAAAGCTGTTCAATTGGTGGATTGTTCTCACTTGTCAAAAATTTCTCCTTGTTTCTATTTTGAATCTTTCCTTGATCAGTTTCTGTCCATTCTTCCTTGTCTGGCTTTTGCATGCTTTGGAAAATAGGTTGCTCCCCTACTCTCTATGGCAGCCCCTTAAATATTGGAAGACTGCTATCATGTCTCCCCTGGTCCTTCTCTTCACTAGAGTAGCCATGCTCAGTTCCTGTAACCGTTCTTCATATGTTTTAGTCTCCAGTCCCCTAATCATCCTAGTTGCTCTTCTCTGTACTTTTGCTAGAGTCTGAACATCTTTTTTATAATGTGGTGAACAAAACTGCATGCAGTACTCTAGGTATGGTCTTCCTAAGACTTTATAGAGCGGTATTAGTACCTCACTTGATCTTGATTGTATCCTTCTGTTAATGCAACTTAGGATGGCATTAGCTTTTTTAGCTGCTATTGCACACTGCTGGCTAGCTGGTTGTCCACTAAGACTCCCAAGATCCCTCTCACAGTTACTGCTATTGAGCTTGGTTTCACCCAGTCTATATGTGCACTTTTGGTTTTTCTTGCCTAGGTGTAGGACTTTACTTTTCTCTACATTGAATTTCATCTTGTTAGATACAACCCAGTGTTCTAGTCTGTCAAGATCTATCTGGATCTTGAGCCTATCTTCTTGGGTGTTAGCTATTCCTGCCAGTTTAGTATCATCTGCAAATTTGGTAAGGGAATCGAATAAGAACTGATGGCACAGAACGAAGCACAGAATCGATGAAAGCCTCTTGCAAACGCTTTAGAGTGGAAATAGAACGAGCGTCGTTTTCAGCCATATGTCACTAGATGGCGCTCTGGAAAGAAGAAACACTCGAGACAGAAAGCAGTGAATGTAGTACAGCAGTCGCATTGCTAGTCTACTGGGGGTCGGCTACACAAGGAGATGGAACGAGTCGGAACGGTAGAAGATTGGATTGCTAGAGGGGATTGGAAGAAGTGAAGAGGAACTTTCTCTTCCGGGTCACCTGGGGGAGGGTGATGGCGTCGGCGGAGCCTCTTGTGCTGCTTGGAGGGTCGAAGCGGCTCCTGGGAGGTGAGTGAAGGGCAGGTCGGAGGAGAAGCCGGGAGCAAGTCCGCCCCTTTGGCTTCCTCCACGGTGCATGAAGCACCGAAGGAACAAGAATGAAACATTTCGGCGGCTGCTGCTGCTGCTGCTGCATATTCTTTCTCTCCCCAAATGTTGTTATCCTATTGCTGCATGATTTAAAATTGCTGCCTGTGATTTTACCAATGGAAGATTTAAACAGTATTTTTTCTTTCATATTTCTATTTCCTTCGGTCTCCGCGTCACATTTGGTTCCTTGTGATGTTATTGACTAGTTGCTTTCCTGGCAAGCGAGGGGTTTTATGGGCAAAAATTCGGATGCTTTAAATCTTGCCTAGGATTTGGGCACCATTTCATCTGTTAGTGTACCCACCTTTCTTAAATTAGATCAAACAAATCGAGTGAAATCCATTTCTGAAATATTTTGAAGACACATAGTTTTTGTACCTAGAGTTGGGTATTTATGTGTGCATATATATAAACGTCAGTGTTTGCAGGTAATTTTAATAACAGCTTGCAATGATAATAATTTGTGATTTATCCAAGCAAGTGAGAATTTTATGATTTGAAATATGAGTGGATGTTTGAAGTTGGATTTTGCTACTCTTCTATGTGCTTAATGAATCATATTAAATGTTAAAGGTCAAATAAGCATTTTGATATTCTTGCTTTTTCATGGTAATATATGGATATATTTTTGCCTTTTCCCCCAGGTTCTGCAGCCATTTTTAAACAGTAACAAAACAAATCCATTCATATGAATCTTATAGACAAAGAGGCTGCCAAGAAGAGCAGTCTGAAAACGAGAATGAGAAGCAGCATTAAAAGACAAAACAAACCATTGGTCAAAATCTTTCCCCCTTCTTCCAGAAAGTGTTAAAACTCTTCTCTTTCCACAGTAGATGGAGGGAGATAAAGGAGAGATTAACAGGGACAGGATTTTCAGGTAGAAAAATAGATTATGTGGAATTGAAGAAAACATTGCATGTGAAAAGTAAAAAGATATAATTATATAATTAGCAAATTCAAAAAAAAGGGTGAAAGAGAAAAGATCCCTTGGAGAGCCAAAGGCATTAATGAAAGCCATTGAGGAAGAAAAGAGTGTTTTGAATCAAAGTGTCACCAGAGAAGGGATCAGAAGTATTTTTCGCCTCCTTCATGAATCCCAGAATGTCCATGTTGGAAAGACCCCACAGACTGCCTATTTTAGGAAAAACACAGATTGCAGATCACAGTTAAATTATTCACAGGAGGATCCATCCCTTGGAAACCCTTACAAATGCTTGGAGTGCAGTAAAAGCTTTACTCAGAATAGGACTCCCATGACCCATGGAGTGGCCGATGCAGGAGGAGCAGCTCTTCCAGTGCTCACAATGTGGCAAAAAA